ATTTTTATTTTAGCTAGGGTTTATCTCATTATTTGCCTATGGTTCCCACAACCCTAGTTATAGAGTTTAGTTCCTCATAGCCATAAACACAATATTCAAATATATTAAACAAGAATTCATGTACTTACTTTAATGAGAAAGAATAAAGTCTGAAAATTTGCTTGATTAATCAACAAGAGTTGCTTGTAAGAATCTTCAATAATCAAAAACTCAGAAAAACAAAGTCTAATAATATGATGTTAAATCTCCAAGAGTCTAACCTCAAAAACGAGGTTTTTCGAACTATTTATAAAAAAATAAAAAACCTAATTAAACAAGGATTCTAATAACTAGAAATCTGCCAAAACGCGGCTGGGTCGACGGACCACGCGACGGAACGTCGTGGTCATGACGGACCGTCGTGGGCTCCGTCGCCCCATACTTGGGTGCAATTCTTCTGCTGCTTTCTTCATTCCCCTCGACGGCAAGTGTGACAGACCGTCACAGGCACGACGGTCCGTCGAGGGTCTTCGTTACGAAATACTTCAACTTTTGGAATTTGGGTACTGGGATCACTTCTCTGATCTTCGCGACGAACCTGTAGGACGGACCGTCATATCCATGACGGACCGTCACAAGCTTCGTAATCCCACACTTGGTCAGACTTCCCCATCTTCCTTCAGCAGCTTCTCTATGCTGCCACCTACGGACCGTCACAAGCACGACGGACCTTCATAAGCTCCGTAGGTGGTCTCTTCTGCATTTTTCGCTCAAAATCTCCGCATTCAGCTTTAGACAGATTTCCTGCAAAACAAAGAAAAACTTATATCAAAATTAGCACAAAAAGGGCTTTCGGACACACTAAACTTAAGGAAAAAGTATTAATTATACCGTGAAACCACGGTATATCATGTGGCTAAGAATTCTGTCCTACACACCAGAATGAAGCATGTTGATACCGATTGTCTCTTTGTTCCGATGAAGTTCAGGGCGGCACCATGACTGTGCAGTATGTACCCACTAAATAACAACCGGCTGATCTTCTCACCAAGCCTCTCCCGAGCCGACAGCACGATTACTTCAGTTCCAAGCTTCCGTTCGCTTCCGCTTAGCTCAGCTTGAGGGGGGGATAATAACAGATAGTATTAAATAAATAGTATTAAATAATATTAGTATTTACTGTGTACTAATCCTAGTCCTATTAGGATTAGTACTCCTTAATCCTAGTCCTATTAGGATTAGTACTCCTTCCTATATCTCCTATATATCTCTCTCATGTATTCCCTTATTAGGTTAACACTTCAATACCATCAATATTCCTTCATCGTCAACATCGTCGTCCCCTTTCCTCCATTTTAATGTTTTTTCAAATCTTTTTCACTATTGCCTCGAAAAGAGCATATGAATTCAAATTCAAAATTACAACTGTTTCGATCTATATATTCATCTCTTTGGGTCACAAGTGAGGGGATTAAGTTTTAGAGAAGAGCAGTTGGGGAGTTCCTGTTTTTTTTAAAAAAAAGGGAAATCGATAGGGAGACAATTTCATCCTCTAATACATGTCTCCTTCCATTTTCGAGTTAAATCCCTCTCTAGTCAGCCCCTTCACTATTCTATGAGGAATGTTAATATACGGTGGAAGAAAAGCAAACTATAGGTCTCGAAAAGCTGAAAAGAAGGCTGATATACAGACCGTATACATTTGGATATACGTGATATATAAGTGCAGTGCAACAAATATGTGAGCAGAAATGGAATTTTAGTTTGAAGGAATTAAAGTGGATTTTGTATGTTTAATATACAGTTCTTACAGAAAAAGAGGGCTATGAAATGACATGTAAACAATTCAGTTGCAGTAGGCCCAAGAAGGGCCCAAATTCTTTCTCTCTTACGCATAAATTATTGAAAAAATTAGAACTTAATTGTTAAAAACAACAACAATTTAAAATAATAATTAAAAATGTCATTATATCAATATTTTAAAAATTAAAATGTATTCTAGTTTAGTTCCTAATTTATTTCACATTAATCATATGTTCTCATATATTGTCACTGCTCATCAATTTCACTTTCTCTCTATTCATTAATTTTTTTCCCTTCTTGTGCTTTTAGATTCTTTCTTCTTCTTTTCATAAAAATGGAAAATAATCAAATAAAATATTTACATCATATTCTCATTTAATTGGATAACTTTCTTTTGATTTGTATTTTTTAGATTAATATCAAAATTTTTTATTATTTATGTATTTTTGTGTCCAAATTTATTCAACTTCAAATTATTTATTTAGTAAATATCCTTTTGAGTCTGATTTTTTAAGTAGATTTGTTACTATTTAGGGTATTGTAGTTTTGTGTTTATATTTTTTCAATTTTAGTTAATATTTTTTCAATTTTAGTTAATATTTAATTTATTTAATTTCATACTTAATTTATGTTCATATTAGTATTATCAGTTGTATTTTTTATATGTCAATTTTATTTTCTATTTATATTATATTTATTTAAATGAAATTATAGACGACTAAAATTATATATATTCTTACTTAAATTGTATTCATATTAGTATATATGTTGTATTTTTTTATATTTTAATTATATTTTTCAGCAATATAATATTTATTTAAGCATATTGTATCCATGTGCATTCAAATTAATCATTTTGTATGCTATGTTTAAATTCAATTATCAACTGTATTTTATTCAAAATAAATGTATTTTGTATGTAGTATATCAATTATTTGTACTCGTGTAATTTTATTTTTATCCTTTGATCAAACAAAAATATATATTCCAAACTGATTTTATACTTTTAAGTTGTATTTCAATAATTGTATTCAAAAAGATTTTTCCTAAATGTTGATTAAATTCATTATTCACTTTTATTTGTAACTTTCAATTTTAGATAAAGTTGTATTCTAACCTGATTTATATTCCAAAAATTGTATTTTAAAAATGTAAAAATTAGGCAAATCACATAGTCTAATGGACAAATTACTTTTTATCCCTACTCTTTATCTATTTACCAAAAATCCTTTTCTTTTATAAATTCGGATACTTAATATTGAGGAATGATACTTAAATTAGACCGGACATATACTTTAATATTTAATTTATCGTTATCAGTTATAGCGTAAAAAAAGGGATAAAATTTGTCCGATGATTCAATCAGACGTTTAACAAAATTAGCGTCTAATCAGCATAAACCTCTAACTGATTGATGGCATTAGTGAATTTGAAATTGTCAAACCTTCACTTTGTTCTTCGAAAAAAAACAAGCAAAGCTTGGCTTAAAAAAGTTTTGGAACGCAATTTGTGAAGATTCAAATAATGAATATTTCGATCTTGTTAAGACATTCTGGAACATGGGAAAGTGATGTTATATACAAGCGATACAAAAGTAATGGGATAGTGGTTAGAGAAAATATTTCGTTCATGAATCTTATTTCAGCAATTGCGGCTGAGTTGGGTGTTGATGAATTGAAAAAAATATCGAGATTAGATATGTTGTTGAAGGTAATTCGTCTCCTTTGTGTATTTGGATTGATATAGGTTTGAAATTGTACATAGAAATTAACAAACATGATGTTGGATTCGGAATGTATCCTCTAACAACTAAAAGAAATTGTTGTGGACGTTGTGAACAAGAAGGTCACAATATAAGAACATGTACCTTCTTTCCAAAAGATTCTTGATGATTATTTTTTTTGTTGTTTTATGCTTCATATGTAATAATGTTTCTGGATATTTTTAGTTTGCTAATAAGATTTGAACTTTTTCATTTTATGTGATTATAACTTCATATAAATGTTACAAGATACAAAATGTGTAGTGATACTAAATATATCGATTTTGATTGTATTATATCAAGTGTAATGATATTGATAATTTGTATAGTCTCACTTACCTAAAACGGTAAAAATATAATGGATTTGATAACAAATTTTTGTTATCAGACACATAATTGTAACCGATACTAAATATATATAGAGTTTTATATGTTGCAACATGTTGAACGATACTAAATATATTAATAACATTATTGTGTTTTAATTGTTAAAGATACACAAATTTATTTTTGATAATAAAAGGTGTATCATATACTTAAGAACTCTATGAATATTGTGTATATGATGATAATATTGTATCAGGCGTTGTGGTTTATTGAAATACTAAACATTTTAAGTTAATTATTTTGTATCATTTTGTGTAATAATTGTATAAATATAGTATCATGTATACAGTTAACAAAGTTTATAGCGTATAAGCTATAGTTGTGTATATATTACTTTTACAAAATTAATTTATAACGAGTTACTGTTAATTAAATTATATATCTTGAGACAAAAATTGAAATTGAAATACATTTCTTGACAACAAGAATTCTTTAAATTAATAACTACTATTAATATTGTGCTGGAAGGACAAGTTATAAAACAGAATACTAATTAACTTAACTTCAACTTAATATAAAGGGATAATGCCCAAGTACCCCCTCAACCTATGTCCGAAATCTTAGAGACACACTTATACTATACTAAGGTCCTATTACCCCTCTAAACTTATTTTATTAACGGAAAAGGGCCTAAACTACCCTCGAAGTATTGAAAATGGTACACAATTACCCTCCATCCCCACCTATTGGCCCCCAAATACCCTTCACATCCACCTTTGGGTCTAAATTTACCCCTTCATTAACAGACCAAAATTAAAAATAATTAAATAATAATTTTTAATGACGTGGCACTCAACCATTGGTTATAATTTAATTATTTAAAATAATTTTAAACCCACCCATTACCCACCCATTTTAACTAAACCCACCTATTACTTTTAAGTCAATATACTAGTGTTTATACTAATGGCTTTGATCTCAAGCTTCTGCATCTTTTTTCTGGTAGCACATTTTGCCACACCGATTGTGTGTATTCGCAACCCTATTAATCAAACACCTGCCCTTTTCGTGTTCAGTGATTCAATTTTCGACCCTGGAAATAATAATTACATCAACACCACTACTAACTTCCAAGCAAATTATTTGCCGTATGGAGAATCATTCTTCAAGTATCCTACAGGCAGGAACTCCGATGGACGCCTAATTCCTGATTTTATCGGTATATTTATTTGCGTTTTTCCCAATTGTTTGAAAAGTATTAACTGTGGTAGACCTGAACATAATTGTTGGTTGTATTTTGCAGCTGAATATGCTAAATTACCATTTATTCCGCCGTATTTTGAAATTGGGAAGAAGCATTTGGTACATAGAGTAAAATTTGCATCAGGTGGTTCGGGTTGTTTGGCTGAAACCGCTCGTGGCTTTGTAAGTCACAATATTTCCTTTTAAACTTATTCTCTTACTTTTATGTAATTATTGTTTGAATTTGATAGTTAGATCAAATTTTTTATGAAATGTTTGTTTCCATTTGACAGGTTATAGATCTTCAAACTCAGTTGAAATATTTCCAAAATGTGGGAAAACTGTTGCAGAAGAAAGTGGGTGAAACAGAGTCGAAACAGATCCTCTCCAATGCTGTATATATTTTTAGCACTATCAATAATGATATGGTTGCTCCTTTATTTGCAAATTCATCTTTTCCATATTCCGATACAGAATATTTACAGATGATTATGGGCAACTTAACTTCTGTTTTAAAGGTAATACTGATCTTTTCTATTTCTTTTGATTTAATTTACTCGTTGTAGTTTTTATCAAATGAAAAAGTTATGGTAACTATTTGTACTCTGTTCACAGGGAATTTACAAGGAAGGAGGGAGAAAGTAATAGTTTTTATCAAATGAACAGTAGTATGTTGACTTAAAATAATAGGCGGGTTTAGTTAAAATGGGTGGGTTTAGTTAAAATGGATGGGTTTAAATTTTTTTTAAATAATTAAATTACAACCAATGGTTGAGTGCCACGTCATTAAAAATTATTATTTAATTATTTTTAATTTTGATCTGTTAATAAAGGGGTAAATTTGGACCCAAAGGTAGATGAGAAGGGTATTTGGGGGCCAATAGGTGGATGGAGGGTAATTGTGTACCATTTTCAATACTTCAAGGGTATTTTAGGCCCTTTTCCATTTTATTAATAATTTTTTACCCCTTTTTAGCCTACGTGACACTATCTGGTGGGCACAACGATGGTTGACTTTTATTTTTCAAACTAATGTCACGTAGGCTAAAAAGTGGTAGAAAATTACTTATAAAATAAGTTCAGGGGGGTAATAGGACCTTAGTATAGTATAAGTGTGTCTCTGAGATTTCAAGCATAGGTTGAGGGGGTACTTGTGCATTTTCCCTAATATAAACCTAACTACTCTAAATTAACCAGTCCACCTTCTGCCTGTGTAGTGTAATCACTCTTTGGCCTTGCAGGATCGTCGGTATCACTAACATATCCAGCCTTGACTTTGTCCATACCATACTTCCATAACAATGTTCCGTATCTATTGCGAAGATATTCACTCTGAAAACTAACAGCTGAAATGTTGATTTTGTCACTCAAATATTCTGCATAAGCAGTTACATACATTCCACAATCCCTGCAAAAAATGAAGATAAATTAAAAAAAGAATTAAATGTCTAAGTAAATAAATTGATTTACAATACTAACAAGCTATCGCTTTGTTGTTTCATAATATCTTGAGCATATTCCACTGCAAAAGAATGTTGTGGACTCAAAGGTTCACCCGTTTCCTTGTCTTTGTACGTCTCCAATAACAACCAATTAATTCTCTCTGTTTTATCAAAGGAACCACTATCATGTAGATAGTTTGGAAGCATTACAGACAACTTATTCATCTCTACAGAATGCACTCTTTTCCTTGACCCCATAGATGAGTCATACACTCTTATCAACGTTACCTTTAAAATAACCACAACCAACACCCAATGGAAATCTATAAATGGTGTTGTAGGTTGGATCAAACTTTAGAGCATTCCTTGGAATATGTTTAATCACATAAATCATATTCTGCAATTAAATAAATAATTTTTGTCAATCTCCAACAGATATAAACAGTTTCTGTACTATTACCGACATAAAATCATGTTGTGGTTTAACTGATACTAAATAACAAGAAGAATGTTACACAACATTACATCAATGAGTATCACTGTTAACTTTTACATACATCAATGTACATGAACAATGATACTAAATAAAACATACATGTCAATATGATACTTAAACAAAAGTATTAAATATATATATGTTCATGCACTTTGACACTAAATAACAACTAAACATTTAGACTTATAAATATTACTATATTAAATACAATAATTTTCATGTGCAACACATAAAAGCTACACAAATACACATATTTGATTAGTCGTTATATAAATATATCAAACTGATATTTAAAAAATTATCACAAATATCAATATTCCTTGTGTGATTTCTGTTCACTTTAGATACTAAATAACACCTACTTGTCAATATTATTCTTAAACAATAATATTAGAGACATTAATGTTCATGCAATTTTATACTAAATAATCAAACTGATACTTAAAAAAAGCATCACAAAAATTAACATTCATAGTGTGATTTTTTTTCACTTTAGATACATTAAAGTTCATGATAATTGATACTGAAGAACACCTACATGCCAATATGATAATTAAACAATAAGATTAGATAAATTAATGTTCATGCAATTTTATATTAAATATCAACAAAACATCCAACTTAAACAGATTAGATACGTTAATGTTCTTGTCCAACACATAAAATATACACAAATACTTAAATATTTCATTTGACGTTATATAAATAGACAAAAAAATAACGTATCAAAAAATAATAAACTGATACTTAAAATATTATCTACGAAACATTAATATTTATGTGTAAGACATAAAATTATCAAAAAAAAATTGTGCTCATGAGTGCAATGAAAATTTGAAATAAACGATACTTAAATGAAAAAAATCAATCATCAAACTAATGAAAAATATACAAAATCAGGATGGATAGAGATACAAATATAGATACCGTAGGTAGTGTTGGTCGAATAATCGGAGGTGCCGCCTTTCTACCCTTTTTCTTTGGGGTTTTTTGGTGTTTCGAAGTTGATGCATGTCTGTTCTTTGAAGAAGATCTCTTGCTAGAACTTGGATTTGTCATGACTATAAGGTCATGCAACGATTTTGTAACGACCTGTTTAGTCGTTTTGAGTAGCAGATTTTATTTCTGGAAAAACAGGCTGAGACGACGGAACCCACGATGGACCGTCATGAGCACGACGGACCGTCGAGGGGTCATGTTTCAAAACACTTAGAAATTCTGAAATTGGGTACTGAAAATCGACTCTCTGAACTTCGTAACGGAATGACAGGACGGACCGTCACTGACTCTTTGGTGGAAATTGAGTCTCTGAACCTTGCGACGACCTGCAGGATGGACCATCGCAGGCACGACGGGCCGTCACAGGTTGCGTAATCCCAGTCTGGGTCGGATTTCTTTACACATTTTAAGAGACGTTTTGGACTATTCCTACTTTAATTATAAAGTTAGTGGGTTTATGTTAATAAGTCTAATTACTTGGGGGTTAAAAGAGGTAACCTTGAGTAAATTAGTGGGTTATTATTGCCATCTTTATTCTTAATTATATGCTAATTAGGGTAAAAGAAAGAGGGTTTGAATAAGAAAAAGAAAAAAACAGAAAGAGAGAGAAGGAGAATCGATAGAGAGAGACAAACGAAGAGGAAAAACACAAGGCTTTGGGAAGTTCTTGCTTGATCACTAGTCTTCGGTGGAGGTAGGTTATGGTTTCTCTTACGATATTCGTAGTAAACTCTTAATAGCGAATGATATGTATTGATAATATTGTAAACCCTGCTATGTGCTTAATTGTATGCTTGCATTAATGTAATTATATAATTGTGATTATATAAGCATGATGAAGTTATTGAATCCCAAATCTTGAAAAAACCCTAATCTCTTTATTAATGATGAGGCCTTCGTATAAAAGAAGGCGTGATGAACTAAAATAATGAGATTGATGATGTCTTGGTAAGAAAGAAGGCTTGATGAATTGATAGAAGGAGATTAGGGGATCGGGTGTCACGAACCGACACGTAGATTTAGGGGATCGGGTGTCACGAACTGACACGTAGATTTAGGGGATCTGGTGTCACGAACCGACACGTAGATTTAGGGGATCGGGTGTCACGAACCGACACGTAGATTTAGGGGATCGGGTGTCACGAACCGACACATAGATTTAGGGGATCGGGTGTCACGAACCGACACGTAGATTTAGGGGATCGGGTGTCACAAAGCAACACGTAGATTTAGGGGATCGGGTGTCACGAACCAACACGTAGATTTAGGGGATCGGGTGTCACAAACTGACACGTAGATGTAGGGGATCGGAGTGTCACGTACCTACACAAGAGGACTAATGAATATGAGGGAGTGGAGTGTCACATACTGGCAAAAGATAAATAAAGATAATGAATCTTGAAAGATGTTAATATACTCAATCTAATGAACATAATCCCCAAATGAGTATGGTATTGAGGCTTGAGTCCTCATGTGTGAACTTGACGGTAATTGATTATGATATAGTACTTGCTGTTGCTACATGTTGAGTATCATAGTTGATTTTATGATATTACTTGGTATATATTGATTTCTATTTTTAGTTGGCCGATGATATCTACTCAGTACCCGTGTTTTGTACTGACCCCTACTTTTATGTTTTCTTCTTATTTAATTGT